GTAGTTTCCCTTACATTTAGAGATCACTTCATTTGCTAAACTGGAGATATCAGTCCCAGAGTTCAACGACTTCAACCTAATAAGAAATATTTAATAAATACATAAACAAACAAAATGTGAACATAGCAGACGAAACTCTTACAGATTACAGCTTTCTCAGTAGGTATCACTAAACTAAATCAAAGAATTAGTTAAAAGACGATATCGAATTCGTCACTGAATTCCCATGTTTTTTGGGACACCCTGTACTTCACTGACTTTCTCACAAACCTGTAAGGAAAACGCAGATGAATTTAAAAAGAAGAATATCGAATAAACAGTTAGAACCAGAAAACTGTAGAATGAGAAGACGACAAAAACCCATACTGAAGTGCATTTTAAGTTGCGAATAACTTTTTAAACAAGTTATTAATTCACTTATTAAGTGAAAAGTGTATTTTTATTTTCATAATTACTGTGCCTCGAGTTCATTTAACTAATTAATGTCCAAACTTGAGTCTCAAAGTCGACTTCCTATTTCAGAGTTTTCTTGTTATCTAATGGTTTCCAGGAATTCTACCTCTATTAAAGAAAGATGAATATATCTTTGTTCTATCTCTTCTATAGATTGTAAAGTAGCTGCTTTAACTGTTCTACCTCTTCTGCAAATAGTAGAGGAGTTGTTCTACCTGTTCTGTAGATTGTAGAGTAGTTGTTCTACCTGTTCTGTAGATTGTAGAGTAGTTGTTCTACCTGTTCTGAAGATAGTAGAGCAGTTGTTCTACCTGCTCTGTAGATAGTAGAGCAGTTGTTATACCTGTTCTGTAGATAGTATACTTGTTCTACCTGTTCTGTAGATAGTAGAGCAGTTGTTCTACCTGTTCTGTAGATAGTAGAGTAGTTGCTCTACCTGTTATGTAGATAGTATACTTGTTCTACCTGTTCTGTAGATAGTAGAGCAGTTGTTCTACTTCTGGTAGTTTAGAAGGATGAATCAGCTTACATTTAGAGATCACTTCATTTGCTAAACTGGAGATATCAGTCCCAGAGTTCAACGACTTCAACCTAATAAGAAATATTTAATAAGAAATCTGAATATAATCTAATCTCAACGAAAATCGGTTTAAAATTCAGGCTCTGACATGAACTACTGTTTTTTTAAAACATCCTGTATTGTCTATGATTAGTTTACTTTCATCTCTCTCCTGCTATTCAAATATGCTTATTAAACTTTATAGAGCAAACTCCAGGCAAAGGTGGGTGTCCAAAATTTGTTTTCATGTTTATGTATCATTGTAATAATTAAACCGAAATATTTATATATCTATCTATCTACCTATCTACCTATCTATCTATATATCTACATATCTATCTATTTATATATCTATCTATCTATCTACCTATCTACCTATCTATCTATCTATCTATCTATCTATCTATCTATCTATAAATCTATCTATCTATCTATCTAACTAACCTGATAATTTTCTGGCACTCCTTTCTGTCTCCGAGCATAGCGTCCCCCAGCTCCCCAAGGATAGTCGCCTCAAGCTCGTAGTTCACCACCAGAGCTTTCTCTGTAGGGTGGACATCTATACTTCCAGCTTTCACTTTTCTCTTCAAATATTTAGCATCTCCCTCCGTATTCATGGCTGTTCAAGAAATTAGCAGAGAAATTCTAAAAATAAAATGTTTTACGCTACATGTAATATATTATACAAGTTGGAGAACCCGGTGTTCTCCAGGTTTATATTATAGTTATAGTTACATCCGCCGTTTACCCGCGCTTGGTATTAAATCGTGATTTTAGTTAAGTGCCCGGCTTTGTCTGTTAAATTTTCAAAATTTTGTTCTGAAAAATATAAATCTGAAACTGTCAAGATAAAAACTTTAAAAGCTGTAATATAAAAACCAAATGAATTATGAGGTTTGAAACTCAAATTTATATATTTAAAAGTCAAAAGAAACTATTTAGATTTCTACACGCATCATTTCTTCTGATTCTGATTCAATGGATTCCCAAAAAGAACATGACTGCAAAGACGATCTGAAATCTTTAGTTTCAATATGACGATTCCAATGTTCTATTAAGTCTTCATGTCTAAAATCTACCCTTTATATGGAATATTTAATGATAAGGCAACGAAAGAAACAAGCTTTCAATCTCGAAGAATCATAAATATAAGGAATCAGACACTTTAAATTCCGTACAGTCGTCTCTAAAGATGAATATAAGGAGTCAGACACTTTAAATTCCGTACAGTCGTCTCTAAAGATGAATATAAGGAGTCAGACACTTTAAATTCCGTACAGTCGTCTCTAAAGATGAATATAAGGAGTCAGACACTTTAAATTCCGTACAGTCGTCTTTAAAGTCTCATCCTTTGTGGGTAACCCTGTATGTATAGATTCAGTTTTGTGTACACTATTCATCACCAGCTCCGAGTACACTGTGTCTACTGTCTAGGAAAGGTTTGAGGAATTTATCGATCCTTCTCCGGGTATACAGTATACTACCGGTACCAGGAGGAATACTGCCGCAATACATTCTCTCAAACATTACTCTGGCAGAACCACAATATATAAATATAACAACTAAATAAAAAAAATAAACATAACTAAAAATATGAAAAATAAATCTATAGCTAAATATAAAAAGATGAGGTTCACGTAGTTAGAACCACTTGTAATTTATATGATATAAACTAAGGTAGTATAAACCATTTCCTGTCAGTAATTATAATGTAAATTTCAATTCTGAAATATGTATTTCAGAATTGTATTTCAGAGTTGTATTTTCATTATAAAAGCATCTCGGACTTTCAAATCCCTCCCTCTAAACATAGGTTCAGTTTGCGCCTTGCTTATAAAAAGTTTCATCAATTTTTAATACAGATCCGACTTTCAAGTGTCGCAACATCTTGGGCTGTTATTTTACCGCTCTAGTCTATACTCCCCTATATGCTTTTCTGTAGCCCTTTACATATACATTTAAGCACATACAGCACTTGTTGTTAGCTTTTGGGTTTTTAAGAAGTAATTAGCAAAATTCTCATTTATTTTTGCTTTAGAGCTTGAGGCCTTTAAATCACATATACAGGGTGTCCCACGAAACATGACAATAGCAAGACGACTTGAAAGTCGTCTTTGATATATGAATTTATTTGTGACATTTAGTCTTCTATCTACTTTAACATGTATGATTCTTGAAACAATTATCACTTAATTCTCCTAGCCCTGGCATTTCCAAAAAGTGGTCTGCGTTTTTTGTGCTTTCTATATTATCGGAGATATAAAGAGTTTGGTTCAGATTTCAATTTTGTTAAACAAAAGCAAAATTGTCGAAATCTGAACGAAATTCTTTATATGTCGGGCAATATTGAAAGCACAAAAAAGGCAGACCACATTTTGGAAATGGCAGGACTAGGGGAATTTTGTGATTATTATCTCTAGAAATTTACTTCTAAAATTAGGTTGACAAATAAACACAGCAAATTATATCAAAAATCAAGACGACATTCAAGTCCTCTTGCATACTGTCATGTTTCGTGGGACACCCTGTATATATTAATTTTATACATTTTTATTGTTACTATTTTTAACAATATTATAGATTACTTACCTTTCCCCATAAAAACAAAAAATTTGTGTTTCTTACGTATTTCCTGTATTTTCCGTTGATGTAAACTTAAATTCTTATCTTTCTAAACTTATTTAATCCTTAAATAATTAAATGAATGAAGTTATAAAGTCAACAATAAACCTATACAATTCATCATTGTCAGTCCATGTTTCAAAAAAATATCTGTTACTGACTAGATATTTTATAAACAAAAATTAGCTTGAGATATACGATATTTCTAGTGGTATCAGATCCAGATGATTATCGCTGATGATGTTTAAATTTGTAATTTGTAGCAACAAAATCCTTTGTGACGATAATCTATCCACAGTTTTCTGATATTTACTGTTTATTTTTCAAAATACTGAAAGGGAATAGAGAACTCTCACGAATTATTCATCGTTTTCAGGAGAAAAACATTTTTCTAGAATAATAAATAAGATAAGCTGGTTTGTACACTATATAAACAGATTTGTTTTATCTTCAGGTTCAGTTAAATTAGTTTAATGAGAATGCTTAGATACATCCTTCCTCTCCTTCTTCTCTCCGCGTCCTACGGCTCGTCTCTCCGGAGTAATGTAGACCTGTTTCTCAAGGATTCTAAACCAAGTTTATCCCAGCTCAAGGAGAAGCTCTCCGAATCTGTCCCTATCCTGGGAAGATTTAATGATACCCGAGTTTCGTGTGACGCTTGTTTAATAATAAAGTCGTCTTCCTCCTCAGTTTCAGGGATTTTCCCCTGGCTCTTCAATAATGCAAAGGTTTGTTTACGAAATTCAGACGAGTTTACATTTATAGAGGAGGGGTTTCAGCTTAGAAATAATCATGATAAAATTTTAATGGATCAGGTTTTTATTATTTATTTCCGATATTTCTGTAAAGAAAACTTGTTTGCATTTTTTCTATTGCATTTATAGTAAAAAAATCATATAAAGTTTGCAACACTTTTTTGGTGTTTAAAAGTTTAAATCTTGGATCCTCTTATATAATTGTTTATGTAAACTTAATAAGATAATGTCTAAGAAGACGACATTTATAGTTCTTGTTTAGTTTTACTTCTCCAACTTTGATGGATATGGGTATCCTGTGTACCAGACAAATGTTGGATCTAACAATTATTATCTTCATTTTTATGACGAAGGCATTTTCTACGACGGATTTTGGGTAAGTTATTTCTTGTTATGATGATTTGTTATGTTCAGTACATTAAAAACTTACGTACTTTTTTAAATACTCAGTCACCGTTTCCGAACGACATCATCCCACCTTTCCATAAAACAAATCCACAATTTACATTCTTTAACCAAAATGTATTATCTCCATTTATATCAGAAAACAAATATTTTTTAACATACAAAATGACAGTTTTTTATGTATAGAGAAAATAGGACGTATTTATTATTTATCCTGATTAGGTTGTCAATGATTCTGCTGGTAACTATATAGAAGAGACAGGGAAAGTATTTATCTATAACACGCATTCATACACATGCCCTAAGGATACTGGTAGCGGTTGGTGAGTTCATTTTCAAATAGAAAGATTACAGAAATGTAGTTTTTAAATTCGTAAAACATTTGTGCATGAAAACTTTTCTTATCCACGTTATGGTTAGCAACACACATTTTGAAAACATTAATGTGAATGTTTATCGTGTGCAAAATCTTCTTAATTAAAATATGATATAAATTAAATTCTTTCTTAAATTTATTCAAAACTAGTTCCGAAATTTCTTAACAATGTTGTTAAGGTATTACTTCCAAAATGGAGAATGGATCTATCATGAATCTATCACACCTGCAATCTGCTAGATTTTGAACACTGCTCAACATTACACTCTTAAATGCAGATTCATATAGTGCAAGTAAAATTATCATTGGAAAAATAAATCTGACCTAAAAATGGTGTTTTATGCCAAAGTTTTGTAATTTAGCTACATAAAAAATATAATCATATATACGCATTGTTTAATAACATTTAAAACTTGGATGTATAGCAATCAAAAACTCTTTAAATACCACGACCTAACATACATGCAGAATGCATTGAAAAAATCAGAAAGAAACAAGAAAAAAGTTCTTCAAATACGTTTTTTAAGTCCCTTGGAGATAAAACTGAACAATGATTATATTTAATCTCCTACTTTACTCGAAACTAAAGATTTTGCTTTTGGAATATTGATTAGCTTAATGGATTATTTAAAAGTTGAATGAAAATTGAAAATTATCGTAATTTACAGACATCGGAATCTTGATTAAGGATAATTCTAATAATTGAAACCCAAAAAAAAAGAAAAGGGTTCGAAGCTGAAGAAAAGGCGCTGAAGAGTGAATGGGTCAACAGAAAGGATGAACAACCAAATAAAAAATTTACAAAACGAGATAATAAAACTCGACTTTAAATATTTATTTACAATGACGCGTCAATTCATGCATTTTTCAGGAGAAAATATCAATTAAATACACAACAATCATACAAAATAACATGAAACATTTATAAATAAGATGATACAAGGTTAGGAGATTCTTGTTTGCGGACAATATCAGGACTCAAATAATAGGACAATCATAGGAAATAAAAAGAATTCACAGACCTTTCAATACATTTGCCGATAGTAAATAATAAGATTTAAAAATAGAGAACCTTTTGTTTAAAATGAAATGGAAATATTCTCCCAATTTTTTAAAACAAAAAAAACAAAAGTACAAAATTTCGATGCAAAATTTAGTCGAGAGATCAACAATTGAATTGAAAAGGAGAAACATCGAAATCCAAAGGAATTGAGTCTTTGTCACAAACTGTGATTTTATAATCTCTTTATCTTTGAAACCCAATGTCGTAGACCTTAGATATTTCAAACTATGACTTCTGTTATATAAAGCAATCCTAGTTTGAAATATCAAAGGTTCACATAATTTTGTTGTAGATATATAGGTGTTAAAAAATAGGAATTTGTGGCAAAGACTCATTTCATTAAATAAAAAATTTCTTACATTGTAAGTAACACTAAATATCCCGGGGGGAATATAATGGCAAATTCATTCATTTTGTACATTGAGCAAGGTATACACTATACAACTACGGAAACAAGTAGAAAATAAACAAAAGACAAGTGAAACTAAAAAAAAACTTAAAAATAATTATTTTAATCTTGATCCTTGTTCATCGGCATTAAAACATCTTCCTTTAACACAGATCATAGATTTAACAGATATCTCGGTAGCGGTTGAAACACCAAGAATTTTCCTCTCAAAGTCTGCTTGTGAAAGCTGATCTCCTGCATAGTTCTTGAAAATATCTGTGTTTGCTCCCAGAGGAACTCCTTTAGGTTGGAAGAATGCAACCAAGGGATTGAGAGCAGCCTCATCAACCTTAACCTCGTGATCAACCTCAATCTGGTCCTCCTCACGGCTCTTCGTATCCTTCTTGTGGAAGAGGCTGTTCTTGACCTTCTTCCTGGAGTATTTATCGAACCGAGAGCTCTTAACCTCAGACCCGGAGATAAGTTTTTCATCGCTTCCGTCCCGGACGGTTACATCAAAGTTGACATTGAACCTGGAGTTCTTGGGTAGAACGTTAGAGTCGGAGGTCGGAGAAATTGTCGGAGTAAATGCTGGAACGGAGTTGATCTTGTTGGTTTCAGCTTCTTCAGATAATACCGGAGCAAGGGTAGTTTCAACCTTGAATATACAATGTAAAAACATGTGATATATATATTTATTGGAAATTGTTTTAGAAAGAATTTTACAACGTGCGAATGTTGTAATCATTTTATTAAATTTTATTTTGATTTTACAAATTTAGTTACTGCCTTCTTTTTTATTACATTTAAAGGGAGTGTTCGCGAAAAATGAAAGGGGGTATAAGGCTTAATGCGATAAAAAAGCACTTTTGATCGCTAGTAATCTTACTTCTATCTGTTGCGTCTATAAGGAGAAAATTGTTAAAGACGTCTCATACCGAATAACTTAGCAGCCATACAAATAGAGAAAATTGCAACATACTACTTTGACCGTAAAAAATCAAATTAATTTCAAAGAAATCATTTAGATATTACAACCTATAGTCATCGATTATCTTTTGCCACATTTGTATATAGTCTGAATTTGTATGGCTGCTAAGTTATTCGGTATGAGACGTCTTTAACAATTTTCTCCTTACAGGCGCAACAGATAGAAATAAGATTAGTAGCGATCAAAAGCGCTTTTTTATCGCATTAAGCCTATACCCCCTTTCATTTTTCGCGAAAACTCCCTTTAATAAGTAATTTGTTCTCAGAAAACTGTGTAAAACATGATTGCATGCATATGTGTAATGAACATATGTGAGATATACAGAAGCCTATGTATAAAATGAAAAAATGTCAATTTTCTATTCTTGAAAATTAAATAATTCATTTTTGGGTAATACGTGGAAACTAAAGATATTTAAATCATGAAATATCGCGAAAAAAATCCTAAATTCAAGATTTTTGATTTAAAAGAGACTGTACAAATCATCTCAAGTGACCCTGCATTTAACAAGAAGGGCATTCCCAATTCACATCATTAACCTTTAAACCTTCGTTTGAAGTAAAATTCTAGAGATATCCTTGTTTTTCTTTCTGAAATTGTTTATTTTAAATGATAATTCTTCTGTTAAATTGACCAGCAGATTTATGAAACAGAAACAAGGAAGGAATTGTAAGTTTTTTTATACTTTTCCATTGATAGCGGTTTAAAGTGTATCGATGTGAATCTGGCACTTGAAATATAACAACAATCCCTTTAAATAAATCTTTTCTGTTATTATACCTGTGAGTTTAGTCCTGAAGAGGTGAAAGACACTCTGGGGAACTTAGGTTTATTGTATTTCCTTGAAACCCAGTTCTTAATCCATTCTTCTCTTTTCTTGACCAAACCTTCCTTCTCCTTCTCGTCAATCAAACTTTCAGATTTCCTGAACATAAAAAGGTTTAGAATGTGCTTATAAGATTCTGAGGTATACAGTGGTTTCCAGAAAAATGTGTAAAAATGTTCGAATGTTTTTTATTTAAGCTAAGAACTTTGAAATTTGTAATTTCTTAACAGCAATTTTTTAGAATTAAATCTGTTTAGAATTAAATCTGTTCAGAATTAAGTCTTTTTAGAATTAAATCTGTTTAGAATTAAATCTGTTTAGAATTAAATCTGTTTAGAATTAAGTCTGTTTAGAATTAAATCTGTTTAGAATTAAATCTGTTTAGAATTAAATCTGTTTAAAATTTAAAAATCTGTTTTGTGACATTTCATAATTGGCATAAAGATGACGACAATAAATTCAATATATTCTGGTTACAAAATGTAAGATGCAAAATAAAAATGAGATTGAGACGAATGATAACAATTCATGACATGACTCACCTAAGAGGAATAATCTGCTCTGCACCGAATGAGTGAACCTTAACCCCTTCCTGATCAACAGATTGAACCCCGGGTAGATTGAATTCAAAGGATTTAGGATCCTTTCTCCCTGATTCGTTCTGGTTTTCTTCTGTCTCACTAACACGTTCAATTACAAGGACTTCAGACTCGTGCTCGGAAGGTTTGGGAAGATCATCGATCTCAACTAATTCTCCGGCAAGGGTTGGTTCAGCCTCGGATACGTCATAGGTCATAACCCCAGCGACATCTAAACCAGAGGCCACAATTTCTTCAGTTGAAAGTTCAGTTTCAGATTCAGGGGTTAGGGTTGGAACTGTCTCCTCAACACCTCGGTTTCTCTCAAACACGGACCAGAGATTATTCGGAATCTTATGAGGACTGTAGAAATGTTCCGCAGCGTTCTCATCATCTATATTGATAACCTCGAACCTACTGGTTGGGGTGGGTGGAGCAGGGTCTAGTATGTTTCCTGAACCTAGATATACTTCATCAACCTTCGCAACATCATCTGCGAACTCAACCTCGACATTTTCAACTTCGTCATTTTCCTCGACATTTTCAACTTCTTCAACTTCCACAATTGGTTCAACTGTTGTTGAGTCCTAAATAATGATCTTAATAAAGTCACTGTAAACGTGGTTTTAAGAGACCGTGCCTTGAATTAATACTTAAGAATGGTAAAATATATTCATTTTGCTATATAAATAGTTGACAAGACTCAACATATCTTTATCATTTGTGTAAGTATCTTTATTATCGTATCTGTGATTATTCAAAAAATGTACCTGAATATTTTGGGAAGTTGTTACGTCCGTCACTGTTGTTTCATTTTCAGGTTCTAGAGTTGTTTCATCACTGCTTACTGGAACAAACACGGTTGTTGCTTCTTCTACATATACGGGTCCTTCTGTTGTTGTGGGCAAAGTTGTTGTTTGTGAAACTGTTGTTGAAGTAACGAAAGCTGTTGCGAGGGGAGTTGAAGTTTCAGATTGAGTAGTTAGCTCCTCCCTTGTTGATGTTTCAGGAAGGTTGAGCTGAGCAAACACCGGTACGGAGTAATATTTCTTGTGGATCTCATCACTGAATCCGACCTTACTGTCATCGTATAGGATATCTGGTTCAGAATAATCCTTGGATTCTGAAATCTCAACTTCCTCCACACTTGGCACTGGATTCCCAGCCGACCTGTCAATCTCAGTGTAAGGTCGGAATGGGATAACTGACGGTTTCCAGGACTCAATCTTCTCCGTCTCAACCGCGCCTTCTAAGTCTGAATCTTGGGTTTCAACACCTTGTTGTCCGTGTTCATTATAACTTGGAGATAGATCTTTTGCCGAATATGTATAATCCTGACCATACTTAGAGGTGTCAATATCTTTCTCATAGTTGGTCAGACGTCCCGTGACTGCTGGCTCAGGTGTTATTTCTGCATCACTCCAGGCTGTGTGTACGTCTTGAGATTCTTCAACCACCTGGTCGACGATTTCATTCTGAATATCGAGCTCAAGAGGTTCGATGAAGATTATTTCATTCACACCCTCCGGCTCCTCGATGGCAATGGCTAGGTTTTCCTCTACAGGAGAAAAGGTTGAGTGTTTATCAGCGGTTTCATGAACCTCGGAGAAGAAGGGTGTGGTATTTTCATCAGATGGTGTGGTGACTGTATCCAGGGTGGTGGAAACTACTGTTGGAGAGAAGATGAACTCTGTAGTTTTCTCCAGTTCTTCCAAACTCTCGTATGTTGTCTCCAGGTCTAGAATTGTGCTACTCTCAACTAAGTTGGTTGGTAAAGTAGTTTCCTCATCATATTCAGTAGAGTAGTCAAAGCTAGGTGTAGTCTCAGGAGTGGTTTCAACGGAAGATTTCTTTACTCCAGGTGTAATCCTCAATCGAGTTTCGGGATGCACTTCGTAAATCTCAGCGTCTAAGCAAAAATTAGATTAAAATAGTTTCAGTAAATGAGAATTAAGGTTTTTTTTTAAAATATTATATTCTTACCAACAGTAATAGGCGGGAAAGCTGTAGTACTCCTTTTTCTTGGAAGTTCAAACCTTCTGGATATAGGATCAGTTCCAGTCTCAGTCTCATCCTCAGGGTTTTTAGCAAACTTAGAGTAGAGTTTATCAAAGAAAGGTCTAAACTTCTTCTTGAACTCCTCGGTCTTAATTGGTTCCTGGGTTGTGCTGAACTCGGTTGAAGTTTGGATGGGATTGTTTCCTCTAGGCCTGAACTGTCCTGGTCTCTGGGTCGGTTCTACTCCTTGGGCTTCTTCCTCAAATCTATTGTTAGGCCAGAAGAGAGGACGTTTCCTGGTACGAATTCTCTTTCCAAATTTCTTGATGGCACCGTTTCTGTTTCCAGCTTCTACTCCACCCTCAGAGTTTGGACCCAGTCCCTTAAACTTTCTGAACCTAAGTCTAGGTTTCAATGGTCGAGCTAGGGCCAGTACTGGAGCTTCAGTGATATCCTCTTCATCCTCATCTTCAACCTCCTTCTCCTCCTCCTCCTCCTCCTCCTCTACAGCTTTTTGTTCTTCAACCTCCTCTCCAGTCTGGAGATCTCCAACATAGAACTGATTCTGAGCTCTGATCTCTGCCTGCTGTCTAAGTATTTCCAGTCTCTCTCTTGGGTCCTGAGTAGTTTTATAGATCCTTACAACTGGAGTTTCAGTAGTAGAGACTGTTATTTCTTCTGTTGTAGTTGCTGTTGTGGAAGTGGTTGTTGTAGTGGAAGTAGTTGTAGTGAACAATGTAGTAGTAGTAAATTCTGTAGTTGTGGTTGATGCAGTTGTAGTGATTGATGTTGTGGGTTCCTCTGTTGTGGTTGTTGTAGTGGTTGCATCGGCTACAGCCTGCTCAAAGGTTGACTGAATAACAAGTGAAGGTTCATAAACTAGAGAAATGGGATCTTCATCTGTCACGGAACCAGTGGTTGTAAGATCATCCTTTTCCTCATTCTCCTCACCAAACCTTGACGTGTTTTCATCATCCTGGAATGTTTGTGTAGAGAATGTTTGTCTGTTATCAGTTGGCAGAAAGATGGTTGTGGTGGGAGGAGCCAAGGTTGTTACTTCTTCCTTCAATTCTTCTCTAGATGCTTCTACAAAACGTGTTTTAGAATACTTCTCATATTTATCATACTTTTCAACTTTCTCGGGTTTTCTGCTCAGTGTCTCTAGCTTTTCCTTGTTCTTTAGATAAAATCGAGACAGGGACGGTCTTTCCTTCTGGGTCTTGAATCTAAAGTTTCTAACTGGTGCCTGGGTTGATGTTGTGGGTTTCTCTTCTTCAATCTTAGTGTTAGGTTTAGATTTAATCTCCTGGAATCTGAAAAGTGGTTTCTCTGTTGAGTACGGAGATTCGACAAGAAGAATCGTTTCCGTGGTTGTCTGTACTCCAGTAGGTTCGGATAACAGGGGCTTGCCCTTGTATCCTTTAGGAATAGGTTTGCCAATAGGAGCAATGAAAACCTTGGGTAGAACTCCTGTATGATCTGTAGGATCCATGAACGGAATATCAATCTTTGTAAACCCGGCTGGAGCATCCTTGTCAGAATTCTGGACAAAAGTAGGTGGGTCTTCCTTCTCACTGTTCAACAGATTGACCAAACCTGACTCTACGTCCTTGTCAAAGTTTTGGTTCCCACCCACTAGAAGGGAGAGTTTGTTCCTAGTTTTATCCTCAGGTTCTCCGCTGGTAAATCCATCAAAATCAAGAGATACAAATCCTGCAAGATGATCCTTTTCTGTTCCTCGGTTAAAGGGTTGTCCAACAACAATCTGGCCATCCTTGCTGTCAAGTTCTATAATAGGAGGTCCAAACTTAGATAGATCAGGAGAAGGAATGGTTTGGATTGCGTTTAGGGTCTCTAAGTAGGACTGATCTGGACGAGACTGGGGTCTCTGTTGTTGGAATGAGATGGGTTTCTTGGGTTCAGCGGCCTCGAAGAACTTGAATGGATTGAGAGAAGGCAGAGGGTTGAAGGAGGAGAAGAAGTTGTTAATATTGTTCTGAGCAGGTTGAGGACGTAGGTTCCTGTTTCCTCTGGATCCTTGAAACTGTTGCTGTTGAAACCTTGGATAGTTATCCTGTCTCCGGGTATCAGATTGCTGCTGATGAAACTGAGGATTAAACCTGTGTTGTTGAGTTCCATGGTGGAAATGAACGTGTTGAACCACGTCAGTTCTTTCTTCTGCAGTATCAATCCTAGCGTTCGGGGACGGTTCGGAATTCGGAGGATTCGGGTTCAGGAATTGAAAATCTCCCGAATCTGAACTCTGGTTTGAATCCACTCTTGCATCAGCGGGATTAACGAGCGTTTGACCATGACTCAGTTGCTTTGCCACTCGTTCAATAAGCGCCTAGATTAATAAAGATGAAAAATCTGACAATTCTAAATATTTTTGATTAAATAAAAGTTTAAAATTTTCAAATTTAGATTGCAAATATTTTTCAAAGGCAATACTTACACGAGACTGTTCTAATGGGACCCAATCCTTGTAGTCTAATGCTACATTCAGAAAACGTCCTCCTCTACTAGGATCACTGTGCTGTAATGTCCAGGCCTAATATATATATATATATATATTTTTATAATAGACATTATTATTTTTTTGTATACAGTATATTATATGAAGTGTATACTGTATTGTATACTGTATGAAGTGTATACCGCATACAGCATACAGTATACAGTATACAGTATACAGTATACAGTACACATGTATACAGTATACAGTACACATGTATACAGTATACAGTACACATGTATACAGTATACAGTACACATGTATACAGTATACAGTACACATGTATACAGTATATAGTATACAGTATACAGTATACGTATACAGTATACAGTATACATATACAGTACACAGTATACATTATTATACTGTATACAGTATACAATATACTCTGCATACAGTATACAGTATAAAGTACACAGTATATAATATACAGTATACAATATACTCTTCATACAGTATATTGTATACTGTATTCTGAATAATGTATGTAAACTATAGAATAGAGGTTATGCATATATTTGATTTGTTAATCATGCATAGTACTGAGGTCAAGGCCTTTAATGTCTGAAAATCTAAGCATGATCTAGACCTCTAGTTACTAGCCAATCCAAAGTTATTAATCGTGTTTTTAAGAAGATTAAAAATCTAAAAATAAGAAAGAAAGTATTCAAACTTACAACCGCTCTAAAAAAAAACGAAAATTCTTAGTTTTGAAGCTATTGCTGTAGGAAAATAAAGCAGAGACTCTGTGTCCCAATAAGACCAAGCAGATAAAGTATTGTTAAAAGTGATTAATATAATCTTAATAATTCTTCTAAAAGGGACTATAGAACAATTTAATTAAACCTCATCTTATTGAGTGGCATGCCTGAGTCACAACAGTACCCTTTAAAGGGACTGTACGTGAAATTACTCTCCATGCAAAAATGGCAATGTCCGATTTACAACCGGACCCTTGCAACATTAATCTGATGAAAAATGTGAAGAATACCGTCGTTTTTCTCAATCAAAAAGTGTTTATTTCTGTTATTTTCTCATACGCAAGTAAAGCGCAAATCACGTTCACAGAGAAACCGCAAATGAAAATAAACAGTTAAAAGAAACAAAAACATTGATATCCAATTCATACTTGATCAGACAAAGCTTTCAAGGGTACCGTTGTAAATCGCGCATTGTCATCTTTACATGGAGGGTCGCTTGATATCACGCTTACAGTCCCTTTAAGCCTAAATCTGAATAAAAATAAAAATATATCGTTACTTTACCCCATATTAAATTTTGACCATTAAGTCCCATGTGTCGGCTGGATAAATCTTCAATTTAATTTTATAGAGAAATCGCAAATAATATAATCAATTTTTGGATTTCTGGATAAAAAACAAGGATATTTTCATCATTTTTGATCAGACGAAGGTTTTTGGGCATGGTTTTGAATCAAGCATTCCCTCTTTACAATGGAGTTTCACGTGCACAGTACTTTTATCTTAATTTAAAATAAAATTACATATTTTTAATTGAAGGAGGTTTAGGTATACTTACACTGGACTGATGATCTATCTGTTCTTGTGCTAAGGCAGTAGCCAGGGAGAGAAGAATTAACCCTATTCCTCCCATGTCAATACTAATCTAGAAATAATGAAGAATTAATCCTATTCCTCCCATCTTAATACTAATCTAGAAATAATGAAGAATTAATCCTATTCCTCCCATCTTAATACTAATCTAGAAATAATGAAGAATTAACCCTAATCCTCTCATCTAAATACTAATCTAGAAATAATGAAGAATTAATCCTATTCCTCCCATCTTAATACTAATCTAGAAATAATGAAGAATTAACCCTAATCCTCTCATCTAAATACTAATCTAGAAATAATGAAGAATTAACCCTATTCCTCCCATCTTAATACTAATCTAGAAATAATGAAGAATTAACCCTATTTCTCTCATCTAAATAATAATCTAGAAATAATGAAAAATTAACCCTATTCCTCCCATGTCAATACTAATCTAGAAATAATGGAGAATTAATCCTATTCCTCCCATCTTAATACTAATCTAGAAATAATGAAGAATTAATCCTATTCCTCCCATCTAAATCTAATCTAGAAATAATGAAGATATAAACCCACGCCTCCCATCTTAATACTAATCTAGGATAAAAATTAAAACTGAGGTTAATGTAATCATTTAAAAACTTGTTGATAAAAGATTACTGGTTAAAAATGCTAGTTTGCAAAAATATCTAATTGTTAATCATACACAATACAAAATTCTGCACAAAAGCTCCTAAAAATGTAATTATAGGATCTCTTAATCTCTAAATTGTTTTTTTTTAAAATAAGAATTTATAAAGGCTAATATTTACCTAATGCCCTGAAGGATGATGAATTGAGTTGAGTCTAGTACACCATAAACTATTTCTCGCAATCTAAATATTTCAAACGAAAAATTAAAAAACAGAAATTAAAAAAAGTGGAATAGAAATCCGGGAAAAATATTTTTGATTAGGAATATTTCCTGAAATTTTGATAATATTCTTAATTTTTGTAAAAAAAAAATCTGTTAGGAAAGACAATAATTAAGAAATATTTCAGTCTGCAGAGAGGCACATTTTTATAAAAATTAATTTTCGATTAAAAAAGAATTCAAGCAATAACAATAAAAATTCTTTAGAAAATTCTTGCATGTATGTAAACTATAAAAAGCCCACCCAACCTCTCTTGAAAAAGTAGCTGCTCAGTAATTGACTCAATTTAATTATTCTTAATTAAGCCTGACATTAAACAATCAACATTCAAAGTTTTCTAATTATCTAGGAGGGGAAAAGAGCTGGAAGGGTTGGGTTAAAACTCTATCCTTCTCTACCAGCTCAGTTATGCAGGAGAGAAAGGTTTGTTCGGATCCAACCCTTCCCCACTTCTCCACCAGCTCAGTTATTCAGGAGAGGGAAGAAAACCTGGAAGGGTTGGGTTTAAACCTTCCAGCTTTTCCTCTCAATAGTTTAATTTTAAAGGAAAGGAGGAGAAGAATATAGGGAAAGAAGTGAATAATAAAGAAGGAAAAAAAGATTTAATGATTAAACTAATAATTCAAAATTAAACAGTTTCTCATAAACCTTTGAATGCTTTTCATGTATATACAATAGGATTTGACCTTTTAAAAGAAAAATATATTCACTAAAAAGGGGGAAGTGTATTTTTGAAAAGGAGGTTTGAAAACATGTGAAAGGGGGAGGGGGGTTAAATAAATGAGTAAAGGGAAAGAAAGGGGGGCGGGGGCCGGGGGTATTAAATTCTAAGAATCAGCATGGTTTCTGTTAAATAGCAAGGTCTTCACTGTAGAATTGGATGACGTATGTTCTCATGTATTCATTATAACAGTGAATACACTGGTTTAATGCACGGAATCAAGTATATAAATATAAAGGTTAAATATTGGAGGGTTGAAGGATGGAAGGATAAACAAGGGTGATATCAGGGTACTAGATAACACTGACAATACTTGGCTGATTGGGTTTGAAAAGGTTTCTAAGTTTATAAACATGTTTATTGGGGAGAGGAAGGGATTATTTAAGTCATTTATCCATCACTTGCAATACTAACATGGATTAAAAATAAACAAACAAATCGTATTAAACAGATTTGAGAATTTTACAGAAATATCATAAGATTTAAAGTTTAAGATTTAACAAATCAAGTTCATTGATAAAACTGAATGTAAAGGAGGGGATTGAAAGGATGAAGATAGATGAAGAAGATTGGGTCTGTTGGGAGGATGGATGTCCTCCGTCTGTCTCCTCTGCGGCCTCCAACTCCTGGAGGTCGAGGTCGAGGTCACTGTGTCCAGAATACTCAATCTTCCACCTCTCCTGCGCCTCCTGAAATAATAAATATAAATTTTTAAATTATTTATATTTTCTCTACAAAGGAGTAGTCTTTTTCGAATCTCTGTATTTTTGGAACCTGATTGTGCAAACCTTTGATATTTCAAACTTAGATTATATTATCATAGTTTTGAATATCTAAGGTCTATGACATTGAATTGCAAAAATATAGGGATTAAAAAATCAGAGGTTATGGAAAAAACTCAATTCTTTTGATGATTAATTAATAAATCTAAATGGTTTGGTTTAGGCAGCTATTCTTGTAAATACCTTCTTCAATATTCATAAAAAAACTAACTTTTCAGCTTAGTACGTACAATTAGAACAAATAGGCTCAGGTGTAGGATTAGAATTTCTCAGGGTACTAAATTAGTATGAAGTATGTTTGGTGCTGACAAAGATGGGTATCGGAAAATTAAAAATTGCTTGACCGCATGAGTTTGTATGGGGGCGTGAGGACTCAGGTGGGAGGCGGGATTGTATGCAGAAAATGTTAAATAAAGTCGTGACATGAACATTCTGGTTTCTTACTGCATACTTATATATAGATACCCTGGTATTATTATAGGTATATGCTTATATAGATAGTTGGTAGTTCAGATATACAGAGATAACCATAATCAAACTTAACCACAAAAACTTGACAGTTAACCATCAAGGGAACCATGAGTGTGCGAAATAAGCTTTAAAGTATTTTAAGTGGAATAGGAAAAAAACAATGTGTACACGCAGTCTTGTGTAAAAATAAACATTGCACCCTCCCCGTTTCACGCTTCGTAACTTAACTTTGAAATCATAAAATTATTAGAATTTTCATCAAGCGACGGAGAATGAGACAGATTTAGATTTTTAAAATATATTTTCTAAGATTTAAAATTGTGAGAAAATAGTAGATACTACTGATATAGGAAAGATATATGTAATGTGTCCACACTATACAAAATGTTAGAAGTCTGTGTTGTGTGTGAAAGTGAGGAATGACCGAAGAAAATGAACCTTTAGCTGCATAATCTGGGCAAGGGCCGTGAATAAATGGTTATATGTACGCGTAAGAAGAATGTGCGTAAGTATATGAAATGACGCAAGGCAAAGGAATGCGGTGGACTGCTGCAGACCCAAAACATTCAAGGACGAGAGAATCTTCGAGAATTTTCTCAGAGGGGCCAGGGGGGGGGGTAACCCAATTTTCAACTGTTTTGTGTTGCTTATAATGAAAGGTATGTAAGTAATATCTCGTGTGTCAAACTCTGAAAGAAGTAAAGATGGATGAAGTATGAAGGAAGTTTGTCAAATTTTTTATTTCCACAAGAGAAATTATTTGTTTTACGCGTCGAGTTAACCGGAACAATTATCCATCCTTCATACAGCAGGCAGGAGATGGAAATATACATGGAATGCGTAGAAAATAGTTTAATAGATGCGCATATACGATGTGTATGTAGATATACGGTTGGGTCATCTGGGAAACCTGAAGAAGAATTGAAGGATTGATGTATTCCTCAAATCCATAAAAGGAACCTTGGATACAGGACTCAGTTGGGGAACTATTCTCTTCCAACTATTCACCAATAACATCTCCTTTCCAGACCTCAAGATATGCATGCATTCATGCATTGTCATCGGTATGCAATGGGGCATTTTCCATTGCATGTATTGGTGCATTATCAATGGCATGTATTGGTGCATTATCAATGAATTGCTTCTATATTCCTCTTTCAAAGAAACATTAAAATGGTTGAATTTTCTAAACTTTGGTAAATGCATGAATTCTTTCCTCCCCATCTCTCCCCCCCCCCCACCCCACATGTACTATCAAGTGTTGGACCTAGAGAAGATTCAGGATGCACATACTAATGTCTGTAAAATTGTGCAATTTGTAAACCTTGCAAATAATGGGTAAGCATGCGAATTTTTAGGAAATTAAACTTGAACTCAGGATGGTAAAAGTCCTTCATAGTTTCATGCTCCAGGTAGGTGTGTTCCATACTATCCTACTCCAGGTAGGTGTGTTCCATAGTATCCTATTCCTACTCCAGGTAGGTGTGTTCCATAGTATCCTATTCCTACTCCAGGTAGGTGTGTTCCATAGTATCCTACTCCAGATAGGTGTGTTCCATAGTATCCTACTCCAGATAGGTGTGTTTCATAGTATCCTACTCCAGGTAGGTGTGTTTCATAGTATCCTACTCAAGGTAGGTGTGTTCCATAGTATCCTACTCCAGGTAGATGTGTTCCATATTATCCTACTTCAAGTAGGTGTGTTCCATATTATCCTACTTCAAGTAGGTGTGTTCCATAGTATCCTACTTCAAGTAGGTGTGTTTCATATGATCCTACTCCTTGCAGGTGTGTTTCATAGTATCCTACTCCAGGTAGGTGTGTTCCATATTATCCTACTCCTGGTAGGTGTGTTACATAGTTTCCTACTCCAGGTAGGTGTGTTCCATATGTATCTTACTCCAGGAATGTTTTGGCAGAATTATTATCCGGGTAGACTAAGACTAGAAGTATTCTGCGGGTAGGTTAGGAGAACAAAAGCCATACTCTAAGATACCCTTGAAACCACTACTCGAGACCATGGCAGGACTAGGATGAGTTTTCCATGACATAGAAGTTATAATTAAGAGTAGCACAGCGGCGTGACCGGGAGGATACTTAGGCCCATCCAGGCACACAGGCAGACGTCTAATGGGGGCTTGGAGAACATAAATATTTTAATGAACATTGGCGTACTCTGTAGTGGAGTTTTTTTAATTATTGTTCGACTTGTATAGATTTTAAGTTCAAAAAGTGAATATAAAACAAGAAATAAATCATAGATTTGAAAACATTTTAAATTGATAGTTCAAATGAGAAATTATTCAAAATTATTTATGCAGAAATGCAGCTAATTTAATATTTGCATCCCAGACACGAGACTACAATTTAAACGGAATTATTCAAATTACAGATTTCGCCGATTTTTTTCGTGTAAATGGTTTAGAAAAATGGTAAAGATTATACAGATTGATAGATTGCATAACAAGGCAATAGGCATGCAATCCACTTGAATATAAGATATCAGTTGATTTGCACAATCTTTTTTTTATTCATCGTTGTTATTTGTATTCATAATTATACAAGTTAGAACAATGTTTTAAACTTTTTTTTTGCAAAAAAAAACTGTTTGCATTTAAGTGCAGTTTTGTATAGTTAAATGCACTCTGGTCAGTTTAGGCAAATTTACCGAATATTTAAATTGGTAAAAATCATTTAATAGGCTGTAATAAGAATAGTCAGGAAAGTTGACGAATAGGTTAAGGTATATTATTCATCTATTCTTCTCTAGGAATAGGCTATGGAGTATCCTATTCATCTATTCTTCTCTAGGATTAGGTTAGAGTATCCTATTCATCTATTATTCTATATGATTAGGTTTACTCGCCTCTAACCAATTATAAACATTCATATTAGGACCTCCTTCTCTTATCTTTATAAATGATGCCTATTTGGCCCCCCACGGTAAGGAAAGTAAAAGTAACCTCCCCCCCGCCCCCCTTGTGCATATAAGTAAATATTCCTGTAAAATTTCCTCATAAATCTTTATATTCCCAGGGGCAATCTTTCACTGCCGCCTCTCCATTCAAATGTAAATAATTTACCAAATTCCAAAATTTAAGAATATTTCAATCCTCTCCCAACCCAAACTTTAAACCGTGCAGTCTTTAATCATCCATATACCCTTCATAGATTTTCAGAAAAATGACATTTAAGGTAAATCGTGATAATATAATGCTTAATATATGCAATCTATGATGCATTTTGTATCCGGTTTGCTGCATGCTAAATTCTGAATGCATCATGCCATATCCGGATTGCAAATGTGTATCTAGATATGTGCATTGGAATTATCGGATAATACTGCGTTCTTCAGCTGTCCTCAACGATATGGAGAGAAATGCATTTTATATTACTTGCATTACAATGATGGATGGTGCATTGTGTTAAAGATTATGTGGTAATGCAAGGTGTAGAATATTTGAGTATTATTTATTCAGTCAATTTTGTAAAGTTGTCGATAATAATTTACAAGATACAGTTTGGAGAAGGTTTGCAAGATACAGTTTGGAGAAGGTTTACAAGATACAGTTTGGAGAAGGTTTGCAAGATACAGTTTGGAGAAGGTTTACAAGATACAGTTTGGAGAAGGTTTACAAGATTCAGTTTGGAGAAGGTTTGCAAGATACACTTCTGAGAAAATTTACAAGAGACAGTTCTGACACGGTTTACAAGATACAGTTCGGAGGAGGTTTATAAGATAAAATTTGGGACGGTTTATAAGGCCAGGACCATCCATAAAACAATTGCGTTTTTTTCTTTAAAATTCCAGCCGAACCTTGAGATTGAGATCAATAAAGTTTAGATCTTATCCTCAATGTTTCTCTGTATAAGATGAAGGTAGGATTTCTCTAGTTTATATCTCTAGTTGACCCAAGGTTGGGGAACTTTAACGCCCGCTGTGGAATTCCATTATATCATCAGATGACCAGAATCCGGCCAAAAAAATTCTAAAACGTTTAATTAATTCATTAATTCACACTTGGAGGAAAGTCTTTATATTTCAGTTTGGCTTGTCCATAGTGAAAACATTCCTGTATCTTAATTTCATCTAAACTAGTCGTAAACTATCCACAGCAGGATACAAGGATATAGTACAAGGGTCTTTGCTCCTTGGTACAAGATCCTATCGGAGTTTAAGGTTCTGTAACCCACTATCATACTCTAGGTTAAGTAAAAATAAAGACTGATGGGAACGCCTGTGGATATCGAGAGAAACTCAGATCAATCTATTTGTAATGTACATCGTACAATGTACAATGTACAATGTACGATGTACCATGTACAATGTAAAATGTACAACGTACAATGTACAATGTACAATTCACATGTTATGAAAAATTTATCATTACTTCAACAGAAAAAATAGATTTTTAAATCTGAAAATGAATAAGTTC